AGCCCTCCTATCCGTCTTGTATTGAACTGTTTTGTTGATGTATTGTCTCCATTTTTATTGTAAAGTGCTGAGCAAACTGTATAATAATCCTGTATAATAATAATAATAAGTTGCTGTGTGTGTGGGTGAAGCTAGGAGGGTCATGTGCCGCAGGCGCCACATTGAGAGGGGCGCAGCCGGTGGGGGAAGTAACTGGTACCGACTTTCTCTGTGGCTCTCACTGCAGCAGCTGAAAGCCTGCATCTCCTCCCTCCAACCGGCTTTCAGCTGCTGCAGGGAAAGCCACAAAAGATCGGTTCCAGTAATTTCCCCCACCTGCTGTAGTCACCCCTTCCTGTCCACTATCAAAATCCCCCCCACTGGCTGTGTGCAACAAAAAAAGCTCTTCCAGCAAACTTTGATCACAAGATGCAGCATACGGACAGCACAGTGGCTAAATGGTTAGCACTTCCGCCTGGTAGTAGGAGGGTCGTTGGTTCAAATACAACCATGGCACCAGCTGCCTGGAGTTTGCATGTTCTCCCTGTGCCTGCATGGGTTTTCTCCAGTTTCCTCCCACACTTCAAAGACATGCTGGTAGGTTATTATACAGGATTTATATAACGCCAACAGTTTTGCTCAGCGGTTTACAATATAACGGGAGACAATACAGCAACAATACAGTTCAATACAAGAGGGTTAGGAGGGCCCTGATCCTGGGAGCTTACAATCTAACAGAGTTAATTGGCTCCTGTCTAAATTGTCCCTAGTATGTGTATGTATGAATGTGAGTTAGGGACCTTAGATTGTACGCCCCTTGAGGGTTAGGGACTGATGTGAATGTACAATATATATGTAAAGTGCTGTGTAAATTGACGGCGCTATATAAGTACCTGAAATAAATAAATAATAGATGCAGCCATGTTGTAATCCTGTGTCTATGGAGGTTTAGGTCCCCCCAACACAAACCACTCCATCCGGTTCAGAATACTCCACACCTGGGAATCTCTCCACCTTCTGCATAAAAGGACAACTGTGCTGTAGGTATAACTTGTCCCTAAGGCCTAGTTCACACTGGCATTGAAAGCAGGAGTTTGAGGGGCGTTTTTAACGCTCTTCAAATGCCTATGCAAATGATATTATGGGCAGCACATAGTGCTGTTCACATGATCAAAACATGAAGCATTGCTTTGCTTCAAAAATGAAGCCTCGAGTTGAGTCAGGAGGCGTTTGAAGCCTTTCAACTCCTTCCATTCATGTCTAGGGTGACGCTCCACAAATGCAGTGGCAGACGTTTGCAGGGCATTTGCGCTGCGGTTAAGGCGCGTTAATAATATTACAGTTTATTATAGGCATTTGTGATGTGGTTTTAATACTTGTAAAATGCTTATAAAATGCTTCAAAACTGCACATAGGGCGTTTGGGGAGAGTTTTTAGCACTTGTAAAAAGCCAGTCTAATGCCCATACTAAAGCTCATTAATGCCTTACTAGAGCTATGGGAGTGTATGGTAAGAGTTAGAAATTCAGTCAAGTGTTTATAAGCCCTTAAAGCAGAGCTCCACCCAAAAGGGGAAGTTCTGCTTTAAGCCTTTGTCCCCCGCTCCCCATTAAGGATTGGCACCTTTGGGGAGCCGGGGGGGGGGGGGTACCCGAATTTGACAGGTATTCCCATTCCCAATTCCTAAGGTGATCAGAAGCGGAAGTTGCCCTCCCCCCTCTCTTCCCGTAGGCTTGTGGAACACATGACAGCTCCCAGAAGACTACGGGGCCATTCACAAAGTGCAGCGCTCCTCGCGCATGCGCAGTGGGCACCCGGCTGTGAAGCTGCAAGCTGTCACAGCTGGGTGCCCACACTGAAGATGCTGGCACCGGGGAGAGAAGACGGCCGGTGAAACCAGCAGTGGTGAGAACATCGCGAGACCGAGGGACAGGTAAGTGGCTGTATTTTAAAAGTCAGCAGATACAGTTTTTGTAGCTGCTGACTTTTATTATTTTTTTTTCAGCTGGAACTCTGCATTTCTTCCCCATTATACCCCCATTGGGTCCTCGTCATCCTGCATGCCACAGCCCCATTCATTTCTATGAGGAGCAGTACTCACTGCAGCCTTTAGCAGTCTTGTGGGGTATGGCTCTCTCGACCTAAATAAAGTGGACCAGGGCACACACGTGCAGGAGGAAAGGGACCCACCATTGATGGTTTTGAAAGAAAGGCAGTATGACTTGGGCAGGGCTGCACAAAGATCATAGAATGGGGACAGAGGTAAATGCTTGATGGACTGAGCTGCATTCAAGAGGGTGGGGGAATGCCTTAAAGGAACAACCTGTATCAAAGGTACATTTGTCCTTTTAAATCAACTGACAGGTCAACAAACTCTTTTCAAGAATTCATTGAAAGAACCATCTGACAGTTAAACCGACACCTTACAATAGTTCTAAAGACAATTAAGAGCATTTTACACCTTACAGAGCTGGTCGTGTTGGAAGGTCAAGTAGTTTGTTGTGATATTTTACATGAAAGGGCTTATTTAATAAAACCAGTGGAAAGAGCAATGAGTTAAAGTACCTGTGGCAACCAATCAGAATATATCTCGAATTGGTTAGATTTTGGTAAAGCAAAGTCTGATTGGCTTCTGCCCCTACACTCCACCAAAACCGTCCTACTCAAACTAACCGACCTGCTAACCTCCAAAGCCAATGGCCCCTACTCAGTGCTACTACTCCTCGACCTCTCTGCGGCTTTCGACACAGTCGACCACCCCCTCCTCCTCAAAAGACTATACTCTTTTGGCCTCAGAGACTCCGCTCTCTCCTGGCTCTCTTCCTATCTATCACAACGCTCCTTCAGTGTTACCTATAACTTTGCCACCTCCCCCTCTCTGTTGGAGTCCCTCAAGGCTCCGTCCTCGGGCCCCTTCTCTTCTCCATCTACACCTCCTCCCTTGGCCAACTGATACACTCCCACGACTTCAACTACCATCTCTATGCCAATGACACGCAAATCTATCTCTCTACCCCTCGCCTCACCCCTTCAGTCTCCGCCCGAATCACTAGCCTTCTGAAAGACATATCAGACTGGATGTCACTCCACTTCCTCAAATTAAACCTTTCCAAAACCGAGCTCCTAGTTTTCCCCACAGCCCCCCCCCATCCCCCTGACCTCTCCATCACGACCGACAATACCACCATCAGCCCCACCCCGCAAGACTGAGTACTTGGTGTCATTCTAGACTCCAATCTGTCTTTCCAGCCCCAGGTCCAATCGATGACAAATTGATGCAGACTCTACCTCCGCAACGTCTACAAAATACGCTCGTTCCTCCAGAAACTACAAAGCAACTCATTCACTCCCTTATCATCTCCCGACTTGACTACTGTAACTCCCGCCTCATCGGCCTACCTCATCACAGACTATCCCCGCTTCAGTCTATCCTGAATTCTGCAGCCAGACTCATCCACCTCACTAACCGCTCTGTATCCACCACCCCCCTGGTCATTCCCTCCACTGGCTTCCGATTGCCCAACGCATTAAATTCAAAATACTAACATTGACGTACAAAGCCATTCATAACGCTGCCCCAAACTACATCACCGACCTGATATCCATCAACCACCCAAAACGCACTCCCCGCTCCTCACAAGACCTCCTACTCTCCAGTTCCCTGGTCTCCTCCTCCCATGCCCTTCTCCAGGACTTCCCCCATCCTCTGGACTCACTCACTACCCCAATCCATCAGACTGTCACCTACCTTCCTCACCTTTAGGAGCACCCTGAAAACCCATCTCTTCAGAGAAGCCTACCCCGCCCCTCACCTAACTGCTGATCTCCTCCGCTCTTCCTACCACTCCGTCCCCCACAGCTATTTCCTCCTGTACCACTATCCCCCCCTCCCTCCTAGATTGTAAGCTACAAGGAGTAGGGCCCTCGAACCCCTCGTGTATTTTATTGTATTGTTACTGTACTTTCTCATGTATTGTCTCCCATTGTAATGTACAGCGCTGAGCAAACTGTTGGCGCTATATAAATACTGTATAAATAATAATAATAATTGGTTGCTGTGGCTTACTGGGCTTTGCACTTGCATGCATATTGTTCCTTGTACTGATTATCATGTCATCATCACCTTCAGCTTTCACTCATGCAGAACACACCCACACTATCAGCGATGGATCACAGTTGACAATATAAACAAGATAAAGGCCGTAACCCATCCCATTCTATCCAATACAAAATATAAAACTTTGGCTGGAGTTGGGCTTTAAAAGAACCTCCCTTGAGCATCTCATAGAGATCAGCGGAAAATCAGGGTATAAGGCCATACAGTGAAAGAAATAAGTATCTGACCCAAAACATACTGCCAAGGCAACAAAGGAGTGGCTCAAGAAGAAGCACATTAAGGTCCTGGAGTGGCCTAACCAGTCTCCAGACCTTAATCCGATTGAAAATCTGTGGAGGGAGCTGAAAGTTCACGTTGCCAAACGTCAGCCACCAAACCTTAATGACTTGGAGAGGATCTGCCAAGAGGAGTGGGCCAAAATCCCTCCTGAGATGTGTGCAAACTTGGTGGCCAACTACAGGAAACATCTGACCTCTGTGATTGCCAACAAGGGATTTGCCACCAAGCACTAAGTCATGTTTTGTGAAGGGGATCAAATACTTATTTCCCTCATGAACATGCAAATCAGTGCATCATTTGTTAGACCTGCATTTCTTTTGAATTTTTTGTTGCTATTCTGTCTCTCAGTGTTACAATACACCTACCATTCCATTTTTAGACTGATCATTTCTTTGTGAGTGGGCAAACATTCAAAATCAGCAGGGGATCAAATACTTATTTCCTTCACTGTATGTACTGAAGTACCTTTTGCCCAAACAGATTCCTCCAGGGCAGTGTTGAAAAATAAAAGGAAAATTAATTGGTTGAGAATATCTATTCTTGATAATGAAGGGTTTCTGCTTGTTCTACCCTAGGCTTGGTAAATAACAGAAAATAGAAAGGTGATTTCGCCCGACATCTCTTACCTGCCAGCTCGGGTCAGCATGTCTGTAGTAGCAGAAGTTCTGGGTGATCCAGTTGTATATGGCAGACAGGGTCAGTTTCCTCTGCTGGCTTGCCTCCATGGCCATACAGATAAGACTAGCATACGAATATGGCGGTTTCACATGAGGATTGGTTCTGTAATCTACCTCCTGGATAGGATTGGGGGCAGATGTAGGTAAAGAAGGCCAGGCGTTGCTTCCCAGGGTAACCCTTTGTTTCCCGTTACGAGGAGCCTGGCAGGAGGCTATATCCCCAGCGGTGGGGCTGCATGGACCCTGGTTTGTGTGCAGAGGAGGAGGACATGAAGTGGCAATGGATGACAAGTCTGAACTCCGGATGGAGAAGTCTTGGAGCCACTGAAGGTTGGTTAAACTGTCATCTTCTCGATTATTATCCTTCTCCATAAGTGATAAGGACTGGTGGTGGGAAGAAAGGACTGGCATGGTCTTCTAGGAGAAGGGAGATGATGAAACCTATAATCAGAGACATCTCATTAGAATTCTTAAATAAGAAGTGTAGTCACAAACATTTGCCATATTTTTTTCTTTCAGAAGATACTATTTTCACTTTTTTTATTCTGTTTTTGCACCTTGGTGCTGCTGATCTCCTACAACCACCTTCGAGCACTTCCTATCTACATGGACTTGTGCCACCAACAGCTGTGTGATGGGCCTCCTGATGGTGACAAAGGCCAAATATGTCTGTGCAATAAGCATCAGCATGGCCACTTATAGTTGGTACTGGAGGGGCCCATGGTAAGTTGACAAACCAGGCGAACAACTAGGAGTTCAGGGAGACAGCATTGCCCCCATTTAACAGGAAGAGCCTAGACCAGGATCTTCATGGCAGGATTACCAGGCATTGTTTTATTAAAAGCTGCAGATTTAAATAGATGGAAAATCATTTCTATATTGCATAAACACGTTAGAGCCTACAGGAGATCTTAGTGATTGGATTTACATCCATAGCATGGTGGCTCCAAAACTGTGTGCATTAATGGACTATAGCAGGAGTCTCCAAACTATGGCCCTCCAGCTGTTGAAGTACTACAAGTCCCATTATGCCTCTGGGAGTCTTGCCTGTGGCTGTCAGAGTCTTGCAAGGCCTCCTGGGACTTGCAGTTCCTCAACACCAGGAGGGCCATAGTTTGGAGACCCCTGGGCTATAGTATAACGGTGTTGTACTGCGTTTATACTGTAATTTTGTGGGAACACATATGGGTGCCTGCAGCACATGTATGATCTACATGTATGATCTTATACATACTCCCTTTTGTTGATTATATAGTGGCAGAGCATGAGGGTTTCTTCTGATTCATTAATGGACTATAGCACAGGTGTCAAACTGGCGGCCCTCCAGCTGTTGCCAAACTACAAGTCCCATGAGGCATTGCAAGATTGACAGTTACAAGCATGACTCCCAAAGGCAGAGGCATGATGGGACTTGTAGTTTCACAACAGCTGAAGGGCCACCAGTTTGACACCCCTGGACTATGGTGTCAGCTAGAACACATACAAGCATCAGTTGTAGTAGGAAATGGGCAGGTGAAGTATTTGTTTCTATGGGGTTACCTAGTATGACACCATGTGGAATGTCAATACTAATGACCATGGAACACTACAGATGTCCCCTTATCACATAACCCTCCTAGTTTCCAGGATGCCATTCTTCTTTTTGATTGTTTCAATTCTAATAATTACCAACAAATGTATAATCAATGGGCCACTCTTGAACCATATCCTTACAGTAGGTAAATCCTGCAATCCACCATCCATATATAAAGAAGAACTAAAGCCAGATCTTGCTTGTTCATTTCAGATAGAGTTAGGGAGGGTTATAGTCCCTGACAGTTTTTTTTCTTACCCACTGTGTCCAATTGAGGAGATTTCCCTTCATTTTCTGTCCTATAAACAAAACAGGAAGTGAGAGGAGACCCCCCTAAAGTGAGGAAATCCCCCGTTGTCACCAGAAACAGTGTCTCCATTGAAGGATTCCCCCTCTATTCCTGTTCTGGTGACAACCCAAAACGTGGGATTTTTTTTTCACTTTTGCTCTCGGCGAGAACAGTAAACAGGAAAGATAGAGAGGGTGAATCTCCCTAATGGGACACAAACAGCAATAAAAAGCTGTAAGGTATTATAATCCACTCTATCCTAAACTAAAAAAAGTTTTTTCTTAAATTGTTCAGACAATCTGTCAGTGTATGGCCATTCCTTTACTTCAGTGCATGTTCAGTCTGCAATTGATTGTTTGAAAATGGAGTGTTTTATTTATTAATTTTTCATGCGATTTTCAAATGAATCTTTTCAGATCGATCTGTATGGCTCTGATCCCTCTTGTTTGCCATCTTGCTCTCCATTTAGCTGCCTCTCCCCTAATGACAGTAAATATAGCCAGATAATTTCCCTCTGTGGGCTCTGCCACAGCCGCACCACCTCCCCCAGGCCTCACCCCAGAGACTGTTTGTTCAGAACAAATAGCGGTTGTTCCTGCTGCCTGCGCTTGTCGCTGAGCCACTCGGGAATGCCGTTACCTGTGCAGATAACCACCCTTTCCTGGCCTGTCATGCAGAATCGCCTTACTTCAAATATAACACCAACTCCATACATTGTACAGATCCCAGCACTGTCCAGACCCCACTGATAATCCACAGTCGGTGATTCCTGGATAATATATGAAGTAACCATCGGCTGATCTTGTCCTGATAATCTACAGTCAGTGATCTCTGTATTATTCCATAGGCAGGATCTGCTTCCTACTTTGCAGTGGTTGATTTTCCCCTAATAATCTACTGTCAGGGATCTCTGGATATTATATAAAAGAATCACTGTCTGATCCCGTCCTGATATTCTACAGTCAGTGATCTTTGTATTATTCCATAGGCAGGATCTGCTTCCTATTTTGCAGTGGTTGATTTCCCCCTAATAATCTATTGTCAGTGATCTCTGGATATTATATAAAAGAATCACTGTCTGCTCCTGTCCTGATAATCTACAGTCAGTGATCTTTGTATTATTCCATAGGCAGGATCTGCTTCCTACTTTGCAGTGGTTGATTTTCCCCTAATAATCTACTGTCAGGGATCTCTGGATATTATATAAAAGAATCACTGTCTGATCCCGTCCTGATATCTACAGTCAGTGATCTTTGTATTATTCCATAGGCAGGATCTGCTTCCTACTTTGCAGTGGTTGATTTTCCCCTAATAATCTACTGTCAGGGATCTCTGGATATTATATAAAAGAATCACTGTCTGCTCCTGTCCTGATAATCTATAGTCAGTGATCTCGGGATATTATATAAAGTAACCATCATCTGATCCTGTCCTGATAATCTATAGTCAGTGATCGTTGTATTATTCCATAGGCAGGATCTGCTTCCTACTTTGCAGTGGTTGATTTTCCCCTAATAATCTACTGTCAGTGATCTCTGTATTATTCCATAGACAGGATCTGCTTCCTACTTTACAGTGGTTGATCTTCTCCTAATAATCTACTGTCAGTGATCTTTGTATTATTCCATAGGCAGAATCTGCTTCCTACTTTACAGTGGTTGATCTTCCCTAAATATCTACTGTCAGTGATCTCTGTATTATTCCATAGGCAGGATCTGCTTCCTACTTTGCAGTGGTTGATTTCCCCTAACAATCTATAGTCAGGGATCTTTGGATATTATATAAAAGGAGCACTGTCTGCTCCTGTCCTGATAATCTACTGTCAGTGATCTCTGTATTATTCTATAGGCAGGATATTATACAGAAGCAGCACTCTCTGATTCTGTCCTGATGATCTACAGCCAGCGAGGGCTGGATATTATATAGAAAGAGCACTAGCTGGTCCTGTCCTTATAATTTACAGTTGCTGGTTACTGGATATTGTAAAGAAGCAGAACAGTGCGCTCCTGTCCCTGCAGACACACATACAGTGCTGCTTGGAAGTGGCCTGCTTTTACCATTACTTGTCTTTCCCTGTAATAGCTGATTTGCAGGAGGTGACAATCCCCTCGGGATATGCGGCAGGATCAGATCACCTGGCAATTTAATCAGGATGCAGGAGATACAATGGCAGCCAGGCCTGTCACACCGGTGTGCTCCCCCACAGACCTGCACACAACACTGTATGGACCTGTCTAATGGACTGCAAGACTTATTAACACACATCAAACTTCACACCAGACCTAAGTATTGTGTGTACAGATCTGGCAATGCATTCAGCTCACCACTGACAGTTATGTTTAATAATCAATAGGCAAATGCAACCGCCTATAATAAGTGGAAATGAGCATTTACCTGGATGACTACCATAGAATAAAATCCTACTCAGGGTGGATATAGAAAGAAAGGGATTTGCTTTATTGTATTTATTTTCAGTATGTGTAACCGTTTTAAAAACCTTGTTTCTTCATATGTATAGGTACACACACACACAGACACACACACAGACATATGGGGGTTATCTACTAAACCTGGAGAGTGCAAACTCTGGAGCAGCTGTGCATGGTAGCCAATCAGCTTCCAAGTTTTATTGCCAAACCTTAACTGAACAAGCTGAAGTTAGAAGCTGATTGGCTCCCATGCAGAGCTGCACCAGATTCTGAGTGCTCCAGTTTTAGTAAATCTCCCCCTCGGTGTCATTAAATCGGCAGGTTTGGCTTCCTGCTTCGCAATGCTACACAATGGTTGTGCTTTGTCATTTCTTCTAACAGCACAAGCCAAGGGGATAATCTACACTGCCTCCAGTGTATATATATATATATATATATATATATATATATATATATATATATATATATATATATGGATGGGGGTCATTACCTAGGCAGGTTCGGCTTCCTGCTGTGCAGTACTACACAATGGTTGTGCTTTGCCATTTCTTCTAACAGTACAAGCCTAGGGGTTAATCTACTCTGCCTCTAGTGACTATATATATCCATATATAGATATATGTATATTTATAGGGGGGGTATATGGTGTCATTACATAGGCAGGTTTGGCTTCCTGCTTTGCAGTTGTACACAATGGTTGTGCTTTGCCATTTGTTCTAACAGTACAGGCCTAGAGGTTAATCTGCCTCTAGTGTGTGTGTGTGTGTGTGTGTATATATATATATATATATATATTTATTTATTTATGGGGGGGCAAATTGTGTCATTACATAGGCAGGTCCTGCTTCCTGCTTTGCAGTGCTACATAATGATTGTGCTTTGATGTTTCTTCTAACAGTACAAGCCTAGATGTTAATCTATTCTGCCTCTAGTGCATATATATATATATATATATATATATATATATATATATTCATAAGGGGGGCATATGGTGTCATTACATAGGCAGTTTCGGCTTTCTGCTTTGCAGTGCTACACAATGGTTGTGCTTTGCTATTTCTGCTAACGGTACAGGCCTAGAGGTTAATCTACTCTGCCTCTAGTGTGTGTGTGTATATAT